AGAAATATCATGAGTGACCTCAAAGAATCCCTTTGCACTGGCTCCCCTAGCATGGACAACACGCTCTGGGATTCGTTCTCTATCAAAGTTGGCAAGTTTCTCCACCAGATGATAGTCCTCAAGGAGAATTGGACCTGGAAAATAGAAACAGAAGTTTAATTCGGAACTGCACCGACTCAACTCATCATATTTAATCATCTAGATTACATGCAAAAATAGCATAAAAATGAAATTAGTTGTTATGCATTCCAGAACATAAAATAAAGATGACTGTTGCTCAGTTGCAAATATTTGTAATTTTTATTTACATTTAGAAGGTAGGGTTTCAGACAACCAGATTATCTTGACAACCCAACCCAAAAGGAGGCTGGAGGAATTAAACGAGAACCAACAGAGCGAGAGTCATTTTTCAACTAAAGTAAGCATAAAATTTTAAAATAAATGTCAATAGGAAAAGGATCAGCTTCAAATACAAGATATACAAGTATATATATACATATCTTAAATCCCACAAGCGTTTCCAAAGATTAATTATCCTCAACATGGTAGTGGGTGGGAATAACATCCAAAAAGCAGTTTACAGCTCATAATCACATGAATATCAAAATCTTGTTCAGAAAAGTTGAGAAAACCATCACAAAAATTCAAAACCCAGGTAAGCGAAGAACCAATGATAACAAAGATAAATATATACACACAAATAGTGAACAGCATCATAAGATAGATTGATGATGAAGCGCAACTATAAAAAAAAAAAAAAAAAAACTGTGTTGCAATTGAAAACCCAGCATCAATCAACGAAGAGTTGTGATGAATTACCTCTAGATCCAACAGTCAAAGAAGAGTTGTTGTTCCAAACTGGAGCACCGGAGTTTGTGGTCCAGAATGGGGAATCAAAAGCACTTGAAGGGCGGTACTGCAACATACACAACGAAAACGAAACAAGACCATGATGAGCTAAAAGAACAACAAACACAAAATTTCGAGCTACGCTTAAATGACCAGTCTGATTGATCAAGAAGATTAATTCATCAAGAAATCAAACTTAAACAAATCAAGAAATATTGAGATTAGGACAGGGAAATGAGTACCTTGTAAGGATCCATGGAGAGAGAGAGGGGGAAGAAGAAGAAGGGAGTTTGATATGAAGGTGAGAGAGCAGAGCTAAGCCGCTCAAAGGTTGGGTCGTTTGGCAAATGAGAATCGAAGAGGGAAATATGAAATTGGGGAATTTATAAACACTTGTGGGTCGTGGGCGTGGCTCGCGCTTCTGTGCAAATTACCAATCTCAGCAGGTTATCTTTATCCCCACACACACTGGGAGGTCAAGAGAAGAGAAGACATATCTTTGCCAACTTAGCGTCGCGAGTCAGAACGATTCTCGCCAAACCTGTCAACGAAACATTCTTGTGTACACAATTGTGGCAAAACGTGCTTCACTCACTTCAAATCTTTTACGACCAATTTTATGAGGAGGGCTTTTTTTACAACAAAAAAAATTATACAATTTTATGAGGAGATTGTATGCAAAAAAAACAAATGGGATTCGGATTTTTTTTTTAATGGGAATTATTGTCCAAAGACAAAAGAAATATTACAGAAATTAAGAGTTCAATTGAAAAGTAAAAGAAATTAAAATGCGTAAAAAGGACTAGAAACACCATAATTGACTGTGTAATTATAAAATATATGGAATCGTCTTTTTATTGTTCAAAGATTGTGAACATATTATCCCTAAATAATGAACACAAAAATTGATTTAAATATAATGTTGGTGTTGATTGCAATTAATAGCTAACTATAGAGATTTGATTGAAACAGTTAAAACATTTCACCACGAACAACAATGGCAGGGCAAAATGCAAGTTGTTAATCTTACTCTAATTGAATTATTAATTTTTGTTAATATTTTATTTTACTTAAGAAGAAAAAAAAAGTCATTCGTGTATCTCACATTATCATTGAATTGGTTTCAAGATGATCAGTTTAACAACAAATCCCGAGCCTATGAATTTATCCGTATTTTGTAAAACCTAAGCTTCTCAAAAAATCTAACCATTTAACATATGACACATCATCAATTTTTAACCTAAGATTTGTTTTTTCAAAATTGAAGTTAACTTTAAAGTTAACGTGCTTGAGGGGTTTTTTTTTTCATCATGCTTCCTTCCTCCTTGAGAAAACTGTGAATAAAATTGATGCATTGCTCTTTATCTCCAGCTTATATATTGAACCCTAAAGCACAAAGCGACCTTCAAAACTTAGATTTTTTGGCCACACAAACTTGAGCAAAGCATGTCTTATCTTTTTCACAAGATTATTCACTCTCATGCTAAATTCATCATCATGTGTAATTAAGAAATAACAAGTTTCACGATGAACTAAAAAAAAAAAAACTCTCAACCACGTTAACTTTAACGTTAGCATCAGTTTTTTAAAAGAAAAAAAAAAGACCTTTACTTAAAGATTGATGATGTGTCATATGAGTGGTTAGATTATTTAGTTTAAATTTTACGAAATACACGGATTCTAAATGTAGAAATTTGGTATTCATATGCGATAAATATCACTTTATGAGTGAAATTTGGTATTCATATGCGATAAATATCACTTTATGAGTAAAAATTGCATCTAAACATGAGGATAAAATGATGTTCATCCGCACATTGAACAAGCACAATATATCGTGAAGATATTCGATATATTGAAAACCTCGCAGATATTCATGTAGGCAGGCTAAACGACGGGACCAACAAAGAAATATTTTTATGGCAAAAACTTCAACAACAACAAAAAATAAATAAATAAAAAAGGAGGCCTGGAAAAGTATTGCCTATTATCATAATCGCGGTGGGAGTTTCCAAAATTGAAAATAATTGAGAACGTCATGTATTCATCGTTCCTTATCCAGGTCTTGGAGCTTTGCTAACACTTAGGCGCAACCAACCACCTACGGCAGTGGCGGGTATGGGTGACGTGGTCCACTCACAAGACGCCACGACTACCAAAGTGTACCTTGAAACGTGTGCTATAAATAGCACAGAGATTCTCTCTCAAGGGATATGCTTGAAATTTATTATAAAAGAAAAACTGGAAGAGGCTGTTTTTGGTGTTGTTTGTGTGAAAGCTGCCAAAACAGCAAATATGCTGATAAGGTTAGAATGGGCCGTGAGCTCAGATTAGCCACAAAGACTGTTCCTCTCTGGGCCCACTTCGGATTTGGTGTTGTTTTTCTACAGGATTTCTTCTTTTTTATTTATCAATATTAACATTTTTTTTTTAATGGAACTCCGAAATGAACAAATTTTGAAGGTGATTGTCATGGTAATTGATATGTTCATAATTTCACATGATTTTATATCTTTATACTTAGTTTTGTGAATTAATTTGGACTAAAGATGCTGATTTCAGTTATTTTTTGGTTTTTCAACTTATGAGTAACGAAATGTATAAATTCGCCAAATATTCCTCATAATAGAGTTTGACATGATTCCAATTGGAGATGGAAGACAGAATCTTGAAGTTTGTCCATGAATATTTTCATAATTTTTGAAGACTGCTAAGGTGCCCATCTTTAATTAGACAATTTAGCCTAAACCAATTCCTGGAGAATACTGAGTCAGCAGGGGTATTTTGGCCATAACTCACTCATACGACATCGGATTGAGGCATATGACATATGGCTGAAAAGAAGACATCCAGAGATTTCCAATGAGTGGTCGTACGCAATTTTTGGAGGTCAGGAAGGTGTTCAAATCACATTCACAAAGAGGATCACGTGCAGTTTCCTGGAAGTTTTAGGAAACTTAGCTTAATTACCTTTTCTAGTTAGGAATTGACTTGGAAATCAAGTCTTTGTGTAAGGCCACGTATTCAAGCCCATTCTAACTAGGTTTTAGGTTCTTTTAAGAGGAGAGGTCTTGGGAACTAAGGAGACACACCAGAAATTTCAGACTTCAACCGTGGAGCAAGGAAGAGCGACCGTGCCTCTAAACTCTAAGGGTTTTTCTTATCTCTTTCTCAATGTTTTATTTTTGCGTTGTTACCATGATTATGAGTAACTAATTTTCTTTTACTAAGACACAATGTAACCCTTTTCTAATTATTCAAAGCTTAGTTATGTCATGCTATTAAAATTTTCATGTTGTTGAAATTTAATCACTGTGCTTATTTTCTTAACTAATGATCTTGATGCTTAGCTACCATTTAGGTTTTTGGTTAAGTAATTTGATGTATGTTAGGGTATACGCCATGCCTAATATGGGTTTTGCTTCTTGTGATTAAATTCATGAATATGCCTAAGGTAAACACCGTACTCTTAGGGGTTTGTGTGATTGTGTGAAGTTCTCATTGAACCTAAGGTCTTTTTATATGTTTATATTTATGCCTCACGCCAAGGATAAATTGCGTGTAAGAAGAAGTGGTTAATTGTTGTGAAAAGAGTTAATCATAATTTTGGAGAACTAATCATCAACATAACTTGGGAATTTTGATAGTATGCATGCTAAGGTTTGGATAAGAGGAATTGTGGTGAAATTATTGTCTTGGTAACCATTTAGTTCACGTTTTTCTTTATTATCTTGTCTTTTCATTTTCTTGTTTCAACGTTCTTTTAAAGAAAATCTTTCAAAACCAACTTTCAAAACTCCTTGATTAAGTCTTAGTTGAGTCTTTAGTTTTAAGTTTATTAGTTAGGGTGTCTAGAGTAGTTTAGAATTCATAACCACTTGAGAATTTATTCGGTCTCTGTGGGAACGACCTTGTACTTGTCTTGGCTATATAGCATTAACCTTGTGTGCTTGCAAGTTTATTTCTTGAATTTAACTATCTAATTTTCAGGTAGTAAAATTATACATCAGTAATTACTTGATGTTAGTTAGAGAACCTCTACGTCTAGGGGAACTATGAGTTCAAGGAAGCTTTGAGGTATGCTCATGTGATCCTACTTGTTCTTTATGCATAAACATATTCAAGTTCCATGTTCAAGACTTGACATCTAATCATTACAGCGATCATCTATTAAAAAAAAAACTATGTGACTGGGCCTTGATTCAATAAGAACTTAAGCGTTAGCTTCATGTATGTAGGAAAAGCACACAAAACATAAAAAGAAAAATTAAAAAGAGAGAGAACAAATTATCCTGGTAAGAGTAGACTACCTCCTGTTGCTCAAGATCCATCACCAAAAACAGCATATCAATGTATTTTGAATCTTTAATCGCTTTCCACTTGTTGGACTGAACACTCTCAAATTGCCTATAAAAAATTGCTTGTCATTGAAGACTTCCCCAATATATTTAGAGCCATCATCCTTCGGATCTCTTTTGCTGCATGATGCATTGATCACTAGAGTTAAATAAATCAATGACAGAGCCATAAAATGAACACAGGGTTTGTGAAAAAGGTGATATTTTCAATGATGATATTAATAAATATTTATTCTTTGAGTAGTTAGATTTTTGCATAAGGCTTACCTTCCTCAACTGATGGCTGCATTGATATTTTCTCTAGCTCAACGGCATGTCTGCTAAGCTCAGATGGCGATAAATGACGAAGCGCTGATAACATGATGAACAAAGAGCATTTTCAGTGCTGACAAAATTAAAGGCAGAAAAATTGGTATGAAATTTTTTAAATTGAAACAGCAGTGCCATAATACAATGACCTACTCTGGATGTATTCTCTCTGATCAGAATCATCAAATTGCTTCAAGAGGTTCTGCAAATGTAGAAACCCTTCTGTCCTTTGCTCATCATGGTTCTTCTCAGAACCAACCAAGTGAGGAACCAGAGATTCAGGAGTGAATCTAAGTTGCCTGGAATGAGCAGCTGGCAATCCATTACTGGCCTTTCCAAGAAACATTGGAACAGGTGGTTTACCAGGTGAAAAATTTACCGGAGAAGCCAAGGGCATTGGTGCGAACGCAGATGTCTCATGTTCCTGCTTCTTAGTTCTGTCTTTAGGTAGGTCTTGCGGCTTTTGTGAAACTATATCGTTTGAAATTGAGAGAGTAAGTATTTTGTTCTGTCACACCTTGAACTCTTCGCTTGCCTAAAGCTGAATCTAACTTCCTCGCACCACCACCATGCATGAGCTGATCACTTGCACCGTTGTTGTCATCGGATCAGCTGCACCAAAATGGATTCAGCTGCATCCTCAACTTGTGATACTCGCAAGTGCACGAGCCGTTCAGTAGTTTAGCATATGTAAGTGCGAGGTCCGTTGGAGTAGTCATTAGCTGCTAATCAACCCGAGAGAGAGAGAGAGAGAGAGAGAGAAATATGACAAAATTACCCTGAATGTGCCTGGCATATGACTATTTCTGACTGAAACTTTTTCCTAATCTTATAATTAAGTGTGTATTATTTAAATCGGGGTATGTGAGTTGTATTAGTTAGTCGGGTAATGAGAGTATTAAAAACTTAATCCGTTTAATATAGTCCAGTAATTAAATAATACAAGTTGACATCAAACAACTGACATTGACTATTTACTCATATCCAGAGTCTAATACCATGTACCAAACATACCCTACGAGCTTTTGCCACATGACTCATCTAACATGACAATCCAAGTCCACAAACACAAGCATACACACTAAGACAGGACACTGATATGAATGTGAACTACAAGAACGACTGCATAATATCTTGTATAGAAACAAGAGACAATCGGCACATACAACCGGCGCTTATTACATTGGAACTGCAGTTCACATTACATACCAAATTTAGTATAACACTGCTAGGAATTCAAACATTTGACTTGGCATAACCCTCAAATGCTTGGCCTCACATTGAGACGGGTTGCGATCTTTTGACCCAGAGACTTATCTGCCTGCATTGCCAATACAAGCACATAACATCAGAACAACATGGCTTATTCTAAAACTAACCCTTCATATTCCAGTATCACATCATCAAGTTGCTTAACTGTACAAATTCACAAATTCAATAATTTATAAATAGACTCACCTGAGACCAGTATGAGATCCAAATGCTGCGAATCTCATGGGAGACACGTGGGTCTGATAGGGCATCCACGCATCGGCGGATGAATCGCTCTTGCCTGCATGAAGATGCAAGATTAAGAACAACGTTTAAATACAATTATTTTCATACAGAGACATCATAGGGTTGCCAGGTACCTGTCTGGCGCCCAAGATCTGTATCTCTCTCCAGGTTGCTTAAAGTTGTTCTCCTTCTCAATGACGCGCTGAATAACCAAAACAAAGTTCCCATATGAATTATTATGTGCAGAAAACAAGGAAAATCCAGAAATGCAATCGGTACATATGTATACACACCTAAACTAGTGTATGTGCCCAGGTGACAGAAAAAGGAACACAGCTGGAAGAAAAGATGATGTACAGACGAGACGGGGAAACTAAGGTATATTATTTAAAGCAATATTCCTCAATTGATAGAAACTTACCCTCTCACGCTTTCCAGTGAGGATATTAGAAGGAATGGGGAAGCGCTCAGCATGACGAACAGGATCATACCTTGAAGGGAAGTAATTAACCTGAAGGCAACAGTATAGCAACTCATCAGAGAAAACTCAAATGAATAAACAAGCATACAATTGGAGTTGTCCTCCCAGAATATTGAGCAATCTAAGTATACAAGGGCCAAAGGGATTCCATATGAGACATAACAATTAAGTAAAATAATAATACCTCCTCATCCCTGTGCATGAAATTCATGAATCCGTCCTGATGATTGTTATGATGAGGACACTTGGGAGCATTCACTGGGAGCTGCATATAGTTCGGGCCAAGACGGTGCCTCTGAGTATCAGAATATGCGAAGATTCGAGTTTGAAGCATCTTATCATCTGAATAGTAGATACCAGGGACAACAAATGCAGGGTTAAACGCAAGTTGTTCATTCTCTGCAAAGAAGTTATCGATGTTTTTATTCAGAACCAAACGGCCAACTGGCTGCAGGGGAAGAATATCTTCAGGCCAGGTCTTAGTTAAGTCAAGAGGGTCAAAGTCAAATCTGTCCTCGTGATCAGGATCCATTGTCTGAATATAAAGTTTCCACTCAGGGTAGTTGCCAGCTGCAATGGAGTCATAGAGGTCCTTGGTAGCATGGCTGTGATTAGCTCCTCCAACCTTAATAGCTTCATCCTCCAACAAACACTTGACTCCACAAGTAGGTTTCCAATGAAATTTCACATAGTGTACTTTCCCTGCCTTACTGATGAGGGTATAGGCGTGAACACTAGAGCCTTCCATGTGCCTGTAATCTTGTGGAATTCCCAGATCATCATAAAAGAAGGCGAACGTGTGCAGGCTTTCTGGAAGGTGGGAGAAGAAGTCAAGGATCCTCCAATTCTCTTGGATGTGCGACTTGGGATTCGGTTTGAAAGCACGGATCGCGTCTGGGAATTTCATTGCATCACGGACAAAAAAGACGGGGAAATTGTTTCCAACCAGGTCAAAATTACCCTGCGTTTAAGAAGAACAAAGTCACCACATGAGTAATTACTACACAGCAAAATAAACCCGAATAAATTCGTATATGGTGAATAATGCTACATGAGCAATCTATTACAGCCAGAAGACTACCCCCCATAATTTAAAGGAAAATGAAAAGGCAAAGCTAACAAAGGAATGAGTGCAATCTTTCATTAAAGTCACGAGACTGCAAGATTTCCAAGAACTATAATTAGTCAAATATGACTTGAGTACTGCAAGATAATATATAGGTAAAAACCTCACCTCTCTGGTGTAAAACTTCACTGCAAAACCACGAGGATCCCTCAGGGTTTCAGGGCTGCCACGCTCATGGATAACAGTGGAGAAACGCACAATGACAGGTGTCTGAACACCAGGGGCTCGAAGGAAGTCAGCACAAGTAAGCTGAGAAATATCATGAGTGACCTCAAAGAATCCCTTTGCACTGGCTCCCCTAGCATGGACAACACGCTCTGGGATTCGTTCTCTATCGAAGGTTGCAAGTTTCTCCACCAGATGATAGTCCTCAAGGAGAACTGGACCTGAAAAATAGAAACAGAAATTTAATTCGGAACTGCACCGACTCAACTCATCATATTTAATCATCTAGATTACATGCAAAAATAGCATAAAAATGAAATTAATTGTTATGCATTCCAGAACATAAAATAAAGATGACTGTTGCTCGGTTGCAAATATTTGTAATTTTTATTTACATATCTTGACAACCCAAAAGGAGGCTGGAGGAATTAAACGGGAACCAACAGAGCGGGACAATCATTTTTCAACTTAAGTAAGCAGAAAATTTTAAAATAAATGTCAATAGGAAAAGGATCAGCTTCAAATACAAGATATATCTTAAATCCCACAAGCGTTTCCAAAGATTAATCATCCTCAACCTGGTAGTGGGTGGGAATAACATCCAAAAAGCAGTTTACATCTCATAATCACATGAATATCAAAATCTTGTTCAGAAAAGTTGAGAAAACCATCACAAAAATTCAAAACCCAGGTCAGCAAAGAACCTATATGATAACAAAGATAAATATATGCACACAAATAGTGAACATCATCATAAGATAGATAGATGATGAAGCGCAACTAAAAAAAAAGAAGAAAAAAACCTGTGTTGCAATTGAAAGCCCAGGATCAATCAACGAAGAGTTGTGATGAATTACCTCTAGATCCAACAGTCAAAGAAGAGTCGTTGTTCCAAACTGGAGCACCGGAGTTTGTGGTCCAGAATGGGGTATCAAAAGCACTTGAAGGGCGGTGCTGCAACATACACAACGAAAACGAAACAAGACCATGATGAGCTAAAAGAACAACAAACACAAAATTTCGAGCTACGCTTAAATGACCAATCTGATTGATCAAGAAGATTAATTCACCAAGAAATCAAACTTAAACAAATCAAGAAATATTGAGATTAGGACAGGGAAATGAGTACCTTGTAAGGATCCATGGAGAGAGAGATGGGGAGAAGAAGAAGGGAGTTTGATAAGAAGGTGAGAGAGCAGAGATTAGCCACTCAAAGGGAGGGTCGTGTGGCAAATGAGAATTGAAGAGTGAAATGACATTAGGGAATTTATAAACACTTGTGGGTCGTGGGCGTGGCTCGTGCTTCCTCTGTGCAAATTACCAATCTCAGCTGGTTATCTTTATCCAAACACACAGTGGAAGTTCAAGAGAAGAGAAGACATATCTTTGCCAATTTAGCGTCGCGAGTCAGAACGATTCCCGCCAAACCTTTTTTGTATTTTTAAATTGTTAATCTGACTATTGTTCTTAATTGAATTATTAATTTTTGTTAATATTTTATTTTACTTAAGATAAAAAAAAGTCATTCGTATATCTCACATTATCATTGAACTGGTTTCAAGACAACCAATTTAACAACAAATTCCGAAGCTCTATATTTAGGATCCGCGCATTTACCCGTATTTTGTAAAATCTAAGCCGCTCAAATAATCTAACCATTTAATATATGACACATCATCAATCTTTAACATAAGATTTTTTTTTTTTCAACATTGAAGCTAACTTTCAAGGTAACATGCTTGAGGGAGATATTTTTTTTCATCATGCTTCCTCCTTGAAAAAACTGTAAATAAAATTAATTTGTTGCTATTTACCTCCAGTTTATAGATCGAACCCTAAAGCACAAAGTGAACTTCAGAACTTTGATTTTCTAGTCACAAAAATCAAGCAAATCATGTAATTAAGAAATAACAGATTCTACGATGAACTAAAAAAAAAACCCTCAAGCAGGTTTACTTTAATGTTAGCATCAATTTTTGGAAAGAAAAAAAAAGGATTTTAACTTAAAGATTGATAATGTGTCATATAAGTGGTTAGATATTTAGTTTAAATTTCACGAAATGCGGATAAATGCACGGATTTTAAATGTAGAAATTCGATATTCACATGCCATAAATATCACTTTATGATTGAAAATCCAGAATACTAAACTAAAATTATATTTCTAAATTATATTTCTTGACAAAAATTGCATCTAAACATGAGGATAAAATGATGTTCATCTGTACATTGAACAAGCACAATATATCGTGAAGATATTCGATATATTGAAAACCTCCCCCATATTCATGTAAGAAGGCTAACCGATGGGACCAACAAATAATTATTTTTAGGATCATGTTAGGGAGATCAACTTTAGATACCAACTTGTGTACAATCTCTCTAATAGAGGTGGAACCCACCAATACAATGGATCTCATAATCTATTAGAGAGATGGTATACAAGTTGGTATTTAAAGTTGATCTCTCTAATATTTTCCTTATTTTTAATG